CGGAGCAAACCAGTTCGCTCCCAGATGATCTTCGGAGCTACCAGTTTGGTCGAACCAAGCCGAACTGGTAGAATCTCACCCCTGCCTAGGAAGGATAATTAAAATGGATACAGGTAGGATCCAGCTTAAGACCCAGTTCTGAAATTCCAACGGGCTATTTCCTGAAGACCCTTTTCATGCAATTTCCCAAAATTTGGAATGAGACAAAGTTGGAGTGCTTGCAAGTTATGGTGAAAAAAAGTCAAGATAGCACACACGGTGATGAGGTCAAATCTCACTGCAGATTAAACTGGACAGCCATTTGTCTAGAATGGGAAAAGGTCTTCTGCTTAAGCAGCGGGTTGGACTAGAAGACCTCTAAGGTCCCTTCTAAGTCTGCTATTCCTCCTGTTTCTGCCCAGAAACTTTTTAAACCAAATCTGCTACAGTCAAACCTGACTTGAAGGAGACCTAGCACAGACGAACCTTAATTGACCTGTAACAAACCAGCTTCAAACTGAACCTTGGCTCATTGCAACAAATCCTTGTTAAGAGAAGCCACACTTTGTCTCAGTTCAGGCAACACAACCAGATGTGGTGTGTGTGTGTGTGTGTGTGTGTGTGTGTGTACAAAAGAGACAGAGAAAGAAACTTCTCAACTTTGGGAAGCAAACAAAGAACAGAGGAACAATCTAAGACATTAAACTGATCACGGGTTCTTCCTGCAACGATAAGCCAGGGTTTAGATGAACCAAAACAAAAAGAGAGAGGAAGAAACAAGGTTGAAGAAGGGGGAGCTGCAGCTTAAATTGTCCTCTCTTCAACTTAGGTGCCTTCTAGAAGTTTGGAGGCTTATAAAACGTTGTGACTTCTTGGAGGACGTCAAACCCGCACTGTATATCGGACATTTAACACAACTGAGCAGGTTCTGAGATATTTCTTGAGAAAACTCCTACCATAGAATTCCCTGTGCCTCCAGGTTCAAAATTCCTTGGCCTGGACAATCTGGAACTGCACTGCCTGCGGTCCGATCTGAGCATAGTTCACAAAATTGTCTGCTATAACATCTTGTCTGTCAACGACTACTTCACCTTCAACCACAATAATACATGGGCAAACAACTGATACAAACTCAAGGTAAACCGCTCCAAACTTGATGGCAGAAAATACGATTTCAGCAACGGGGTGGTCAATGCCTAGAATGTCCTACCTGACTCTGTTGTTACAGCCTCAACCCCTCACAGCGTCAATCTCAAACTGCCTACCGTGGGACCTCACTCCATTCCTAAGAGGTCCTTAAAGGGGGCATGCATAAGCATACCAGCGGGCCTACCCTCCCTGTCTTACTGACCCCATTTATCTGTATTTACTTCCTTTGCTCTTGTTTATGTTCATACCTATACTTGTTATCTTGTACATGTTTGACAAACAAGCAAACAAATAAACATACATGGGGAAGACACGAAGAATGGAGGCTGGAAAGAACATTGATTTATGGTTATTGCTGAGTTGGTTCAGCTTTGAGGTCACTTGGGTCACGACCAACAAATGACCAAATTGGCAAAACTTTGGTTACTTGCCTCACCTGCCTTCCTCCTTCCCTTCCAGAGGGATACAATCAAGATCAAGTGAGGTACTAATACCATTCTATTAAGCCTTAGTAAGACCACACCTAGAATACTGCATCCACTTTTGGTCACCACATGATAAAAAAAGATGTTGAGACTCTAGAAAGGGTGAAGAGAAGAGCAACCAGGATGATTAGGGGTCTGGAGTCTAAAACATACGATGAATGGTTGCAGGAACTGGGCTTGGCTAGTCTAGTGAAGAGAAGGACCAGAGGAGACGTGAAAGCAGTCTTCCAATAGTTGAGGGGCTGCCCCAGAGAGGAAGGAGTCAAGCTGTTCTAATAAGCACCTGAAGGCCAGACAAGGAATTGACCAAGGAGAGATTCAACCTGGAAATAAGGAGAAACGTTCTGACAATGAGAACAATCAACCCATGGAACAGAAAGTTTCCTTCAGAAGTTGTGGGAGCTTCATCACTGGAGGCTTTCAAGAAGAGACTGGACTGCCACCTGTCAGAAATAGTGTAAGGTCTCCTGCTTGGGAAGGGGGTTGGATTAGATGACCTACAAGGTCCCTTCCAACTCTGTAAATCTCCAAGAAATGGGACAAGGGAGCAACTTGGTGGCTTGGATGTTGTGACGTTTCCGACTTTGGGCATCCTTAGAAGGACCCCGTCCTGCCCACCATCCTTCCAGATCTTCCCCTGCCCCAATTCCAGAGTCTTCGGGCCTCTTTCTAGCTTCAACAACCTTGCACTTTGAAAGCCACTTCAGTGCAGATGTTTCCATGGCAACTAGTGGACCAAATACATTAGTGTTTCTAATAATATACCTATCTGGGAAAAAACCTGCCTTTTTCCAGGAAACCTCCTCTCGCCCATCTGCACCGTCTTCTCCCTTTACCCTTCCTTGGCCAGGGACGGAGAAGAGAGAGGAGAAGCTCAACCCAGAAGGGTGGAAAGCTGAGAGGGTGGAATGAAGACAGGAACATTTTTAACTTGACCAGCCTGCCTTCCCTGGAGGACCTGTCTACTGCACGAGTCAAAAAGAGGGCCGTGAAAATATTTACACACCCCTCACATCCCGGACATAAACTGTTTCAACTCCTTCCCTCAAAAAGACGCTATAGACCACTGCACATCAGAACAACTGGACACAAGAAGAGTTTTTTTTCCCCCGAACGCCATCACTGATGTGGATAACAATGTATAAAGTTTTATTTTATGTTTTTAAAATTTGGAAACTTCATAAAATTTATTTTTTTAAAAAAGAAAAGAACAACTAGACACAAGAACAGTTTTTTTCCCCGAACGCCATCACTCTGCTAAACAAATAATTCCCTCCACGCTGTTCAACTATTTACAAAGTCTGCATTACTATTACTATTAATCTTCTCATCACTCCTTCATACCCATCCCCTCCCACTTGTGACTGTATGACTGTAACTTTGTCACTTGTATCCTTACGATCTATATTGACTCTTTCCTAGTATGATTTGATTGTTGATTGTACCCTATGACTATCATTAAGTGTTGTACCTTCTGACTCTTGACAAATGTATCTTTTCTTTTATGTACACTGAGAGCATCTGCACCAAGACAAATTCCTTCTGTGTCCAATCACACTTGGCCAATAAAGAATTCTATTCTATTCTATTCTTTCTTTCTTTCTTTCTTTCTTTCTTTCTTTCTTTCTTTCTTTCTTTCTTTCTTTCTTTCTTTCTTTCTTTCTTTCTTTCTATCTACCTACCTACCTACCTACTTATCTGATTGCTTGTTGTGCCCTATGACTATCATTAAGTGTTGTACCTGATGATTCTTGACTCTTGAAGAATGTATGATTTCTTTTATGTAACCTGACAGCATCTGCACCAAGACAAATTCCTTGCGTGTCCAATCACACTTGGGCAATAAAGAATTCTATTCTTTCTTTCTTTCTTTCTTTCTTTCTTTCTTTCTTTCTTTCTTTCTTTCTTTCTTTCTTTCTTTCTTTCTTTCTTTCTTTTCTTTCTTTCTATCTACCTACCTACCTACCTACCTACCTACTTATCTGATTGCTTGTTGTGCCCTATGACTATCATTAAGTGTTGTACCTGATGATTCTTGACTCTTGAAGAATGTATCTTTTCTTTTATGTACACTGAGAGCATCTGCACCAAGACAAATTCCTTCTGTGTCCAATCACACTTGGCCAATAAAGAATTCTATATATCTATAGCTACATAACACCAGTTTGCTAAACCAGAAACAAAGCTAACCTTGGGAAAAAAAAGGCCAAACACACACAAAAGCAAAAATAAAATTACCCTTATCAACAGTACATTCCTTCTGATTTTGACAGAGCCAATTTTAACCGTTCCATTTCCTCGGCCCCAACTTTCTAGCCAGCATCCCACCATTCCTGGAAAGACACATCTGGGCCAAAGCCACATCCACATAACCTTTCATCCAAATAACCGGGGCATTTTTGTTTTTTTGGGAGCCAGACCAAAGCTTGCACCCTTTCTCTGACTATCCCACCACCACCACCAAATGTGGGTGTGAGAGAAGGATGTAGAAGGCAGGCAAGAACTTCGAGACCAAGCCACCACCTTTGGAGACCACCCAAAAGCCTCTCAGAGAGTTGGAGTCAAATCTGGAAGTTGAAGCTGGACACCGGCCAGCCGGTGGAGGAGAAAGGAGTGAAGCCGCCAGCGCTCCTTCGAAAGACCAACCAACTCCCATCCTTGATTGCTGCAAACCTCCAAAAAAGGCCTGGGGACCCGGCGAACTCTCCGAGCATCTCGGCACGGCTGACCCATTGGCAAAACCCCTCCCCCAAGCAAAGCCAGGTGCCCCCCCCTTCCCTGACCCATCACCAAGGAGCCCAGAATTTTACTGAGAATAGGGGGGATCAAAAGACAGGAAAAAAAGAAAAAGAAAAGAGGGTGATATTTTAACGCAGTCACAATGCCCAGCGATTATTCAGGTCACCGGTTCTCAAAAGAGGAGCAAAGGAAGGAGGTGGCCTCTCCTACAGAACACACCTCGCAAACGTGCAAGATTGTGCGACCGCCGATGCACAGCTCGGAGATGTGCAAAGGCTAAAAGAGAAAGAGAGAAGAGAGGTTGCTTTCCTCTAGCCGGGCATGCATGCAGTCACCATCTCCCCGACGCGCTAATCTTTGCAATGCACCCACCAAGAGAGAGAGAGAGAGAGAGAGAGAGACATAGATACACACACACACCCCAACTCTGCCACACGCAGGCGTGCACCGAGTAAGCTGGAAATGTCACAGGCTGGACTGTGAGGGGGGGGGGTTTCCCCTCCCTCCCTTCCTCCCTCCCTTCCTTCCTTCCTTCTTTTCTTCCTTTCCTCCCTCCACCTTTTGGGCAGAAGCCAAAGGTTTGTCTCCCGCTCTGGCTGGCTGGCTGGCTGGCTGGCTGGAAGAGATGCTCCTTTGGCAGGGACTTACCATGTCAGCAGCGATCTGGGCTAAGATGGCGAAGGTAGAGATCCGGTCACAGGAGCATTTGGTTCGGAAAGGATCGATGAGGACCGTTCGGCAGCCTTTCCAGGACCAGGCGCCAAGCTGAGATGGAGAGAAGGAGGAAGAAGAAGAGGAGGAGGAGGAGGAGGCGGTGGCGATGGAAGAGGAGGAGGAGGGTCTGTGAAAGGAGGGAGGAGGGGGAAGCGAGTGCAAAGGGGGGAGAGAGAGAGACACACAGAGAGAGAGAGAGAGAGAGAGAGAGAGAGAGAGAGAGAGAGAGAGAAAGAAAGAGATGGGCACACATGGGGAGGGGAGAAATGAGAGAGAGAAAGAGAAAGAGAGAAAGGGGACAAGAGCGGAAGAGAAAACAAGCATCACCAACACATTGCTGAAGGAAATACCACAACCACAGTCAGCCTCTCGCCCCCCACCCTCCCTCTGGTGCTCAGGGTGTATGTCTCACACACACACACACACACAAGGTGGCAAGGAATGCAAACAGAGGCAAGACAGCCCTCCACCCACCGCCAAAGTGAGTTTAAATCTACATTCCTGCCCTCCTTCTCCTGCTGCCCAGCCAGGAGATTTGCACCTCAAAGGCCCTCACTCAGGTCTCGGGCCACCCTCCCCCGTCATCTCCCCTTCCAGCCTGGGTGTTTCCTTTTAGAGAGGAGACCACCAGGAGATCTCTGGAAGTCAAGAAAAGCAGCGAGAGCCCCTTTAGGATGCAAGCTGGACTAGGAGTGGGCTTTTGGAGACTTCCGCTTCACCTCGAAGGTCCTGCACATCTCCTAGGCATCCTCGGTGCATAACTATGCACCCGCACAAAAGTCCAGAACCAGCACTACCCACCTGGCTGCTTGGGGCTCAACGCACCTGAGTGTGAGCAGCACAATTTCTCCAGCTGCGAGTCCCTCACCAACGTTCCCTCTCCTCCTTCTCTCCGAAGGCTGCTCACTTTCAGCCACCAACTTGCACACTCTTTTCCTTGTGGCACTTATCACCTCCAGCCCACACCCCACACACACCCCGCCTCTTGGCATGACACATCACCCTCTGTCACAAACCGTGACTCTCCAGCGTGCGGCAAATCCACTTCAATGTCCACGTGGCATGGCTTCCCACACGCTCTCTCTCTCTCTCTCTCTCACACACACACACACAGATAAACAGCTGTTTCCACACCTACCATCGTTCCGTATTTGGAGGGCCGTTTCACACCCGGCACGTGTGGGGGAGAAAAACGGACTTGTGGCTGGATGGATACACACCTCAGCATGCTACCAAGGACTGCGAAAAGCAAGCCACGGGTTCCACTGAACAGGTGTGCACGTATCCAGTTCACACCTTCCAGTCTCAAATGCACACCACTTTCCAACAGGTCAGAAATGGTGTAGGGTCTCCTGCTTAGGTCGGGGGTTGGACTAGTTCAGTGGTCACCAACCAGTGGGCTGGGGACCACTGGTGGGTCTATGAGAAAATTTTGGTGGTCCACAGAGAAATGTCACCCCCAAAGCAATTAATCCAGGTTGTGTGAGAACACAAGGCTGCGCCGCCCACATGGCCCGCGGGAACACAAGGCTTGCGTCGCTTGCATTGTGAACAACACGAGGTAGTGAGGGGAGGGGGGAAAGGGGGGAGGGGGAGAACTTGCTCCACTCGCCCCACGCGCCTGGCCTGGCCACCGGGATGCTTCTTTCCGCTTCTTCCGTCTTCTGCTTTTGGCTGCACGCAAGGAAAGCAGCAGAAGTCTTTCTTTCTCTCCCCCAAACTCTGCCAGAAATGAGTCTTTGGGACCCTGCAAGGCCTCCTGCTCCAAGAGGCTGCGCCGGCAAAGACTCATTTCTGGCAGAATTTGGGGGAGAGAAAGAAAGACTTTTGCAGCTTCTGCTGCTTTTCTTGCATGAAGCCAAAAGTCTCTCTCTCTCCCCCTCTGAGAATGGAGCTGGAGACGGTATCCTGTGGTCCCAAATAAAGTATAATCGATCGGTAGGAAAATGGGGTGGGGAATTTTCCTGCAGACTTTTTTTGCGGATTTTCCCAGGGTCTCTGCTGTTTTCTGCAGAGACCCTGGGAAAATCCACCCCAAAATTCATATTAGTGGTCAGCGGGATTTTAAATTATGAGTTTGGTCACACAATCAAAAATTCAGATGCTTGGGCCACCGACTCGCATTTACGATGGTTTCATCGTCCTGCATGTCTGTAGGGATGTCACATGATCGCCTTTTGCGACCGTCTGACCAGCCAAGTCCATGGGGAAAGCTGGATTCACTTAACAACTGGGTGACTAACTTCACAACTGCTACGATTCAGTTAACGATGGCATCAATTAAGGTCGTAAAACAGGGCAAAGCACACTTCACAAAAGTCTCACTCAGGAAGTAGAAATTTTGGGGGCTCAATTGCTGTTGTAAGTCAAGGACTACCCACACAACCATTCAGATGTCTAAGACAATGGAGAAAGGCTTCAGGCTGGATGGAAGTCCCTCTCTGGATTATATTTCCCTGACAAAATAACTCTATCAGAGTATATTCATGATTTGGAATTGGTAACAAGGTCAGCCAATGAACAGGCATAGCAACTGAGTCAGCCAACGAGAACTGTTTGGAAACTGAAACTAGAAATAGCCTAGGAAACTAAAACTAGAAGTAGTCTAGGTGTGGCTCTATATTAAGCTCTGAAGCTATGTTACGCTTTGAGTCTGTCTATTGAAAAGGAAACTGCTTCCTGTTAGGGATTTTTGATAAGCAAATTTCCCAAAAAGCCAAATACATAACAATACACATCTTAACAGCGGCCAGATTAGCCTTCGCTCAACACTGGAAACAACATCAAACATCCATCAGATGAAATGATCATTGAAAAAAAATTCAAAATGTGCAGAAATGGATAAATTGACTTTGGCGCTAATAAACAAAGACACTTCACTATATTATGATAGCTGGAATTGTTGGTATAATTGGATTGACCAAAGATAAATTATATATCTTAAGGCATAAGAGAAAAGTATTAACTTATAATAATGAGGCAGTGATATAAGTAAAGAACAGGTGTGGGTACATGACATAAATTAAGGTTATGAAAAAAAAAGAAGATCTTGCAAACTGTAAAAACAAGAATGCTTTTAACCTTCTCTTTCCCTTTTTTCTTTTTTCCTTTTTCCTTTTTCTTTCTTTTTCCTAAATTCTTTCCTTTTCTCCTTCTCCTCTTTCCTTTCCTTTCCTTTGCCTATTTGTGTATGTATTGTTGGTTGATTTTAATTGTAAAAACTAATAAACTATATTTAAAAAAGAAAGAAAGAAAAGGAAACTGCTTCACTCCACTTGCTTGCCGTCTGAACTAAAGTAAAAGAGAAACTAACTTGCTTGCTTGCTGAAGACTGGGGGCTCTGCTCTGAACTTGCAACGTGTTTCTGTCTGAGTTTGCTCCACGTTGGAGAAATCTACGACTGGTTTGTAAAATCTACTGATTATGTTTATAAAGAAGTTAAATGAAGCATCAACATTTGTATTTATTTTTCGGGCACCGAATTAATGCTGCAAAACTCTAAACAAACTCCCCTCAAATTCCATTTTATTTTAAAAATTATCCCCTGCTTTGCTAAATCTTCCTCTTCCTCCTTCTCATCGCATATGTCGTTCTGTTTCTGCATCCTCTCTCCAAATAATGTCATTCAATACAAGCGCTTCCACACAGGTCATCTTTGATTTAGGATCACAACTGAGCCCGACATTTCCATCCTTAAGTGAGACTTGTCCCATTTTATGACCTCTCTCACCTCAGTTGTTAAGTGTATCACCGCGGTTGATCGGTTTGTTATTCAGTTGTTAACTGAATCGGGTTTCCCTCACTTGACTTTGTGCGTCTGAAGGTTGCAAAACAGGAATCCCGTGACCCCGAGGACCCTGTGGCCGTCATAAATATGAGACGGTTGCCAAGCATTCCCAATTTTGATCACATGATCACGTGGGGAGGCTGCAATGGTTGTAACTGCGGAAAATGGTGATAAGTCCATTTTTTTTCAGTGCTGTTGTAACTAAACGGTCACTAAACGAACTGTTGTAGTTCGAGGACTTCCTGAACGCAGGTAGTCCTCGACTTATAACAGTTCGTTTAGGGATCCTTCAAAGTTAGAACAGCACTGAAAAACATATCCCAAAGGTGCTTTTTTGGGGAGGCAACAAGACTTTGTAGGGTTGTTTTTTTTTGAAGAGGTTTCGCTTCTCATCCAAGAAGCTTCTTCAGCTCTGAGAGGATGGTGGGGAATGGAAGGATTGATATTCCTTGCGGACAAAGCTGGTCATTTGCATCCTTTTAGAGAGTCGTTGAGGCCACTTGGAGGTTTGTCTGTGTCCTCAGGGTCACCTGAGAAGTTCAAATGGGTGTGGACCAGTTCCAAGAAGGCTCCACACCCATTTGCACCACTTGAAATCTCTACAGACTTTCAGCCTTGAAAAAAAATGACTTATGACTATTTTTCACAGTTGCGATGTGATCAAAATTCAGGCGCTTGGCAACTGGCATGTACTGATGACTGTTGCAATCTCCTGGAGTCCTGCCATCCCCTTTTTGCAAAGTCAATGGGAAAGCCAAATTCACTTAACGCTTAACAACTGTTTTTTCAACAACGATTAAGTGATTCGTTAAACAACTGTTTCAAGAGGTCATAAAACGGGGCACATAACGAACGTCTCACTTAGCAATAGAAATGGTGGGATCAATTGCAGTCGTAATACGGTTTGAACTGAAGAAACTTCTTAGAGAATAAGCGAAACATTTTCAAAGAAAAAAAATTATATATACACTGCTCAAAAAAATAAAGGGAACACAAAAATAAGACATCCTAGATCTGAATGAATGAAATATTCTTATTCAATACTTTGTTCATTACATACCGGAATGTGCTGACAACAAAGTCACACAAAAATGATCAATGGAAATCAAATTTAGGAACCCATGGAGGTCTGGATTTGGAGTTACACTCAAAATTAAAGTGGCAAAAAACACTACAGGCTGATCCAGCTCTGATGTAATGTCCTTAAAACAAGTCAAAATGAGGCTCAGTTGTGTGTGTGGCCTCCATGGGCCTGTATGACCTCTCTACAATGCCTGGGCATGCTCCTGATGAGGTGGCGGATGGTCTCCTGAGGGATCTCCTCCCACACCTGGACTAAAGCATCCCCCAACTCCTGGACAGTCTGTGGTGCAACATGGTGTTGGTGGATGGAGCGAGACATGATGTCCCAGATGTGCTCAATTGGATTCAGGTCTGGGGAACGGGCGGGCCAGTCCATAGCATCAATGCCTTCGTCTTGTAGGAACTGCTGACACACTCCAGCCACATGAGGTCTAGCATTGTCATGCATTAGGAGGAACCCAGGGCCAAACGCACCAGCATATGGTCTCACAAGGGGTCTGAGGATCTCATCTCAGTACCTAATGGCAGTCAGGCTACCTCTGGTGAGCACATGGAGGGCTGTGCGGCCCCCTAAAGAAATGCCACCTCACACCATTACTGACCCACTGCCAAACCGGTCATGCTGGAGGATGTTGCAGGCAGCAGAACGTTCTCCACAGCGTCTCCAGACCCTGTCACGTCTGTCACATGTGCTCAGTGTGAACCTGCTTTCATCTGTGAAGAGCACAGGGCACCTGTGGTGAATGTGCAAATCTTGGTATTCTCTGGCAAATGCCAAACGTCCTGCATGGTGTTGGGCTGTAAGCACAACCCCCACCTGTGGACGTTGGGCCCTCATACCACCCTCATAGAGTCTGTTTCTGACCGTTTGAGTGGCCACATGCACATCTGTGGCCAGCTGGAGGTCATTTTGCAGGGCTCTGGCAGTGCTCCTCCTGTCCCTCCTTGCACAAAGGCAGAGGTAGCGGTCCTGATGCTGGTTGTTGCACTCCTACGGCCTCCTCCACGTCTCCTGATGTACTGGCCTGTCTCCTGGTAGCACCTCCATGCTCTGGACACTATGCTGACAGACACAGCAAACCCTCTTGCCACAGCCATCCTGGATGAGCTGCACTACCTGAGCCACTTGTGTGGGTTGTAGACTCCGTTTCATGCTACCATTAGGGTGAAAGCACCGCCAGTATTCAAAAGTGACCAAACCATCAGCCAGAAAGCGTACGAACTGAGAAGTGGTCTGTGGTCTGCAGAACCACTCCTTTACTGGGGATGTCTTGCTAACTGCCTATACTTTCCACCTGTTGTCTATTCCATTTGCACAACAGCATGTGAAATTGATTGTCAATCAGTGTTGCTACCTAAGTGGACAGTTTGATTTCACAGAAGTGAAATTGGAGTTACATTGTGTTGTTTAAGTGTTCCCTTTATTTTTTGAGCAATATGGTTATTCGGGTTTTCTCCCACGTAAAATTGGAAGTATCTAGGCAACGTTTTGATGAACTCTCATTCATCATTTTCAGGCTTGTGTCTTCGGCTCTGTGCTTCTTATTGTAATGTGAGCTTGCAGCTGCTTCTTCCTTTTAACTGCTAGTGGGGGTGTGACTTGACTGGGTGGGGGCTTGGCTGTGTTCTGATTGGCTGGGGGTATGCTCTCATTGGTTGGGGGTTTGGCTGTGTTCTGACTGGTTGGGGGGTTGGCTGTGTTCTGATTGGCTGGGGGTGTGTTCTGTTCAGGTGGGGGCTCGGTTGTGCTTGGTTGAATGAGACTTCATCAAAACGTTGCCTAGATACTTCCAATTTTACACGGGAGAAAACCCGAATAACCAAAGATCCACATATATGTATGTATGTATGTATGATGTATGTATGTATGTATGGTATTCAGCTTTGTTCAGGTATTTTCCCACGTCATTGTAGTTGTGCTTTTAAAGTTGTAGCAATATTTCGGCAGAATCTCATCTGCCATCATCCGGCTTTTGTATTACAGAATACCTAATACAGAAGCCTGATGATGGCAGATGAGATTCTGCCGAAACGTTCCTACAACTTTAAAAGCACAATTATAATGACGTGGGAAAATACCCGAACAAAGCTGAATACCATACATGTAAGTACCCGCGAAAACTTAAGAATATACATAGATACATACATACGTACATAATATTTTATTTTATCTATCTATCTATCTATCTATCTATCTATCTATCTATCTATCTATCTTGTGGACCAACTGACCACATGAAAACAGCTGAGTGACTCTGAACCTTCTCCTTCTCTCTCAACCCAACCTACCTCACAGGGTTTGTTGTAGTGGCGAAAATAGAAAGAAGAGGAATATCGGACATATTCACTATCCTAAGATATTTGTTAAAATAATAAAGGCAGTACACAAGCAATCTATCAAGCAAGCAAGCAAGCAAACAAATAAAAATAAGTTGAATCAGCACCATTTGAATATCAAAGGATGCAAAGAATGAAGGCTGTGACCCCAAGACTAACTTGATTGATCATTACTCAAAAAAGTGAAATGAAACCCAAAGGGGCTTTTTTCCAAAAGGTGACTAGACTTTATTTGTTTTTCCTTGAAGACGTTTCGCTCCTCATCCAAGAAGCTTCTTCAGTTCTGCCTGAACGGTGGACGACGGAAGCATTTAAGTTCCTTGCAGTCATCTGGTCATTTGCACTTTCCCTGAGAGTCATTGAGGCCCCTTGGAGGTTTATCTGTGCCCTCGGGGTCACCTGAATAGTGCAAAGGGGTGTGGCATCTTCTTGGAAATGCTGAAGAACAACTACTTCACCAAGGCGTGGCACAATGTAAGAGAACAAACCCATCTGGTCAAAATTCAGAAGTCCATCTGCATTTAAAAGAAAATGGCCACTCTTTTGAAGACAATAAAGTCCACATTTTGGACAAAGAGGACTGCTGGTTTGAAAGAGGGGTCAGAGAGGCCACCTATGTCAAAATTGAAGAGGGGGGGATATGACACCACCTATCTTGTATCTACAACAGAGTCCTTTCAGCAGTCTAAAGATGTCCTGCCCCTGGTGGAGCCTCACTCTGAGGGAGAGGAGGAACAGCCGACAGAGAGTGGGAGTGGGGCTCGGGAGGTTGTGGAGGAGGCTGGGGAAGGGCAGAGGCCAGCTGCACAGTCAGAGGAGGACCCAGGCCCATCCCCTCTCCATCCTAGGGCATGCAGGGAGGAGAGGATAAGGGAGAGACGTGGTCTATTTGGGAGGAGAGGGCCTTGATCCTCTTCATGGGCTGCAGCTGTGACAACTGGATAAGAGGATGGACATGTTTACTGGCGAACACTGGAAACAAAGCATGGAAATATCCCTAGCTTATGGTTCCTGTCTGAGTTTGGTGTCCTTCCCAGTGTGTGTTATTTGTGAACGTCCTCCAGTCCTTATCTTGCCTGGTTTGTGTGGCTTTTTTCCTTCTTCTTGTAACTGTTTGCGTGGGAGTTTTTTGT